TATATATATATATATATATATATATATATACACACTGAAATAAACTATTACTTACTACTTGTTCTAACATTCCTAAAGGTAATTTTTCACTTATCTCGGGGCTTCAGGGTACAGATCCCCCACAATAAATGAGGAACTGCTGTAATCTAAAAGATGTGAAAAGAAATGTAAACTTGTTGTCAGTCACTTTGAGTGGATTTTCTCACTCATTTTGTCCAGATCTCATTGTTGAGCATGGAGAAATTTATCAGAGATTTTTGCTAATTTTGTCTGCCTTTTAATGTACGGCTAAGCACACTTTTCCTGATAAAGCTGCACATCATGATTGCATGTTGTTTTACGTTTCTTCTTAGCAGAAATCATAAATAGGAAAAACATGTATAAATTACTATTATTCATATTATTATTATTATTATTATTATTATGCTTACAACTATTTTACTTCTTCAATTTTTTCATGTAGGAAATGCCTCACAGCAGTGATGAAACAGAACACGCTGAATATCCCAGGAGGGCTCTGTGTGTCAGGAGCACCACCCACTCCACCACCTAAACAGTTTTGGAAAAAGTGAGATTGCTCTCCCTCCCCCATAAATAAATCATTTGAGAAAACTATACTTAACAGGCAATATAAAAACAGAAGGCATGTTCAGTTCAATTCAGTATTTAAATAGTGCCAAGTCACAAGTGAAGTCATCTCAGAGAACTGAACAGAAACATATTCACCAGGCAGATAGGCAAAGCATTTATAGCTTTCAAAAATTATGACTCCCATTTATTGTAAAATAAAAAATACAAATAATACCACTCCACAGCAAAATGTTTTTCAAGTACCTACCATAAACTTTTAGATGTGAATAGGCAAATTTCTCCATCTGGCCACTGGAAGCAGTACAGGTGAACTTTCCAGCGTGGTCCATTGTCACGTTCTCCACTATCAGCGTGTTGGACAGCTCCAGAGAGTTCCACAGCTTCTTTTTTTGTGATACTGTGTGGGACAGCCTCAAACCATCCTCCGAGTTCTGTGGCAGGAGACCATAAACTTAGTCATTTGACCAAAATTAACTTTTATACAATCTAAGTGTAATTTTCTCTGACAATGAGCTACTTGTTCCCTGAAATCACTCTGCTAGTCGATGTGACGTGCAATAGTTTGTCACATTAAGCTTATCTAATTTCTTTGCACAACGTATTATATTTTGCTGAGGACTGCCTGAAGGCAGCCACCTATTATTATCCACCTGAACAGGGTCTTACTCTTCCTTCAACTTTAATGCGGGCCAAACCACAAGTGTCCCCCGACAACTGTATATCAAAACGACCGGCTCATCGCCGTGATGTGTGCTATTACTTTTATTGGCATTTCGAGTTGCCATGGCTACGTAACTTGCCAACAAAGACGCCATTTTTCTCAAAGTAAAACACTGACCGAACTTTTCACAGCGTCAAACAGCCACATTATTATTAGGTCTTTATTCATACAGGTTAGTTCCCATTGAGCCTCGAAGAGTCATTTACAAGAGAGACCTGTTACATACAGGCAGATGAGATGAAGAGGACACGAGGATGGAGGGAACCAAAAAAAATCATGTCTCACACCATTTCTTGGCTGGAAAACAGTATAAAAGTTGCAAAAACGAGCTTGCAACATAAAGCTGCAACATACACTGACATCATAATACATTTATGCATAGAGGTCATCAAAGCTAGTGAAATATCCATCAACACTCCAGAGAGTTCCAACGTTCTGATAAGATGGTACAGTGTCTATCAGCATCATGGTTCTGATAAGGCCACAGATGTCCTTGGGAGTGGGGGGACAGGCAGAGCTTCTAGTTTATGTATCCTCCAGGAGCAATTTGAGATAAGTTGGCCTGTCCAAGGTCAGCGGGGAGGTCAAATTCAGATAAACAACAATTGTTTGGGCTGCCAAACTCTGTTTTCTGTCTGCCTTCAAGTTCTGCTGGTACACTCAATGGTGAATCCAAACAGCCAGATTAGTGGACATTCCATCCGATCCGTGCTCGATTTAGCATTCTCCAAGATTGAATCCTTCATGCTGGCGAGTTCCAGGAGCCGCAAGTGGCCTACGATTCTCAGAAATCACATCCTGCTTGTGGCTGAGCTTGTTAAGCATCGGAGTTGGAGAGCTCGAGACACAGATTAGTCCTTCACATAAGGCTGGCAGCTTTACCATGGACAAAACTGCTGCTGACGTCTTCCTGAGTTGTCGATATCCTAGGTATCCACCGAGTCCAAAAAGCAGAAACCCTGTTATCATAAATCCAATCATGTACACATCTTCTACTCTACATTCTCCATGGACAGTACAGATGGGAGCACCATCTTCCTCTCACCCCAGGAATCAATGACATACCCAGCTGCGTGGGTCCGTTCAGGGCATGAGGGCTCTCCAACACCCTGTCTTCTGGTGGAATTTTTTTAATCAGTTGCGTTGAAGGACCAGCTGACCAAATCCATAATAATTTTCTATTCAGAAGACGTGTAAAGAGAGGCTCTGAGGTTGACAGGACAAGAGATCAAAAAAGCAGGAGGGCGGACGGGAGGGTAAGAGCGTCCGTCTTCGTCAAAGGCAAAAGAAAGAATGAGGACAGTGAGGTCACATGACCTAGACTGGAGGTCTCTGAGCAAAACGGTAAGTTGTTGAACAAACTCTTCCTAACACCCCATCTTTTAAGATACACATACATATTATATATCAACACGTAGGCATTTTTCTCATCTAAAGTTTAAAATGGCTGCCATGTGGCAGTAAGTTTCTCCAGGAACTTTCTAGTTCTGTTTCTTGTGCTTACTCTAGCACATATATGGTTAAGATGTTTTTTTTACCTCACTGGGATGTGATTGTTGTTGATACAAATAAAGAGAAAACTTTTTTTACGTTGCAATCTCACTGAATTCTCTTAGTGACCAAGCAGTCAGGAAACTGTGTTTCTAGATCTTGCACTGAACATTTTTGAAAATCAAGACTTGTTTTAGTGTGCACAGCTTGCTAAACTCTATTGTAGGCTGTGCACATTATTTCATTACTCACCTCTTAGCACTTTGAGATTTTTGTTAATGAAAAGTGCGTTACAAATTAAATCCATTATTATTATTATTATTATTACCTCCTCCCACACTGAACTCACCTCAGCCTACTTTGAACCCACCTTTCCACTCCCAAGTTTATGATTTAGTCTACTGGAGTACACTATAGAAATGAAGGTAGTCATTGAGCAGTTTTAGAGTAAATCATGTTGTTTTAGACCTGGACATTCAGGCCTGTGGTCTGTTTTCTGTCATTGATGACCTGTGCAGCTTTAGGGCTCTAAGAAATGAGACAAACTAAGTTAAGAAATTGTCACACAAATCTTTTGAACATGTTCAAATTCAAGTGAATTTTCTGCAAATCTCTGTGACTTGTGCAAAAATAAATAAATAAAATTGAGAACCACTGCAAATGTTTTAAGACATTTTGGAGACTCCGTAGAAATTCTGTCCTCCATCTAGTTGTGGTTCAGTGAGATATTTCCCTAAGAAGTTAGAACTTCAAAAACACTCATCACTTTTGCCCTCTGACTTGATGTTACAAAGAAATGCTGATGGACTCCTGAAAACAGGAAGTCACAAACTCTTCTTTTTTTTTTACAAACTAGAGGAAGTGAGAAACAGCAAATTCAGAAACTCTGCTTGTCATCAGTTAAAACTGTGTTCACAGCAGGAGGTCACATGAGTTTACTCTGTTTAGGAGCAGAGCTCTGGGCACTGACCTGGACCCCTCCAGAGTGCGTCCAGTTGAATTCGATGCCCACGTTGAGCTCGGTGTGAGCAGCGCAGCTGAGCACCAGCCGCTCCCCCACAGACAGCTTTTGTTGAACAGGGGTCAGGGTGAGGTCATAAATCTTGTATCCTGCGGAAAAGGGAGGGGAAGGCACGACAGTCGGTGGACATGCTATTGTTCTCCACAGTCCTGCTTACACTCGGTTTGTTTTACATGAGGAGGCAAAAATCACACGACTGCATGTAAATGGAGAATCAACAGCTGACGAACCCTTCTTAAAAGCTCATCCATCCCTGGATTTGGGCACACTCAGATCATGTGCACTTCCTAGTTTATGACTGGCTCTGGGGTTCAGGCATGCATGCATCATTACCCCCTGTGTAGGTATATACGCCCTGTTTTCATCAGACTTCCCCCACAACTTGCTCAGACTTTGTATTCTGTTGAACCTGTGATCTTCCATAGCATTGCTTGTTGCCCCAGAAGGCAGTTCTCTTTAAGTTTCTTGACTCCTCAATTATTTTGGAAAATTCACAACATATTTTCAGTCAAGTTCACTCTCTCAGAGAACCATACATGGATCTGTGAGTCACTTTCCATCTTACCGACAACAGCCACGATGTACAGAGGAGACTTAAAGGTCTCGTTTCCAATACGAGTCTGGCAGGACACCACACCGGCGTAGCTGATCAGATGAGTGGGTATAGTGAAGCCCTTCTTGGCGTCCCACACTGAGTCCTTGCCATCAGGATGCAGCTCCTTGATTGGGTACTTCTGACAAACAGAGAACTTCATTGATTTGAAACAAAATAAACCAAATTAAAGTCTGTAAACTTATATTCTGGTCCTAACTGATGAGATAGTGCCAGTCTGTTTTGTGTCTCTGTGTTCACTGAAAGCTATATGAAAGCAGTTTGTTCCTGGTGCCAGTGGCTCCCCCAGTTTTAAATTCAAAAGCCCGTTCCTTACAACGCTTTGAGAGACTAAAGATTTATAAGAGAATGGGAATGTCTGTTAAAAATTGGGGCTTGGAGTTTGAAAAAACATGCGATAATATCAAGCATCGGGAGTCTAAAGAACAATTGCTATTGAATGCACCACATCAAATAGTATTTTTGGAGGGTTAACTCTTGCTGCACAAGAGAAATAACATGTTTAACCTTTTGTCTTTATTAATTATTATTTGACTATGAGCGTGTCAGAAGGAGAAGTACTTTTTCAGGAGTTTCTATTCAAATTATGTTTATATTTGGAATAGCATTGGCTTGGCATTGTTTGAAGAAATGCATTTTACTTCCTGCTGTTCATGCCAGAACTCTAAAATAAGGTCTTATATTGAGAACTTTATTTTTATTTTTGAAAAAAATGTTTGTGTGATCCCACACAATATTGCAAGATCTTGCAAGATCAAGATTTGTCAACGCTGTGTGGAAAATGACTATTAGCTACTACCATGCTAAAACTTCGCCCAGTACCTGTAAAACAAACATTTTGCCATTTTTGTATTAGTTAAACTCGACTGGCTGTAGCAGCCAACTTGAAGGATCTACTCTAAAAGTGAATCAGTTGTGGAGATGGATCCGCTACTTTTTGGGAATTTCATTAAGATCGGTCCACACAGGGAAATAAACTCATGCACACACAGGCAGAAACATTATTGCCCACCATTCCCCTTTTGGTGGTGATAGTTGAACGTTCTCATACTAAAATAGAAATTATCTCATTTTTGTCCGTTTCAGAAGGTGTTCCATTATTTTAAAAGAAAGTATTTAAACGTCAGTTTAAGAGGTGAAACAGGAAGAAACCCTCCTTACAGTGTTAAGTGTAACGTTGAGATTTTCCAACGAGCCTCGGCAGGGAATCACCACCCTCTCTCCTTCACGAATGAAGACCACCTCAAACTCCTTCTCAGACGGCACAAACGGCATCTTGTAATCTAAAACAGAGAAAATAGCACTTTTTGGAAAAACAGTCAATTTAACAAAACCACTGAAGGTTTTCTCTAGATTCATTTGGTGAAATGTGTCATCTAAAATTATTTTAAATGAAACTTGAATAAACATTTGATTAATAAATAAGTTAAAAGTGATCGGGTCGAGGGTGAGGTTCTGCCTCAAGTGGAGGAGTTCAAGTATCCCGGGGTTTTCCTGGATTATTGAGCATGCATCAGAATATCCTGGGGTTTTGTTCATGAGTGAGGGAAGAATGGAGCGTGAGATTGACAGACGGATTGGTGCAGCGTCTGCAGTATTGTGGACTCTGTGCCGGTCCGTTGTGGTGAAGAGGGAGTTGAGCTGTAAGGCAAAGCTCTCTGTTTACTGGTCAGTCTACGTTCCTACCCTCACCTGTGGTCATGAGGTAGCGACCAAAAGAATGAGATTGTGGATACAGGCGGTTAAAATAAGTTTCCTCTGCAGGGTAACTGGACTCTCATTTAGAGACAGGGCGAGAAGTTCAGTTATCAGGAGAGACTCAGAGTAGAACCACTGCTCCTCCACATTAAGAGGAGCCAGTTGAGGTGGTTCGGGCATCTGGTAAGGATGCCCCTTGGACGCCTCCCGAGGGAGGGGCTTCAGGCATGTCCGACTGGGAGAAGATTCCAGGGAAGACCCAGGACACGTGGAGAGACTACGTCTCTCGGTTGGCCTGGGAACGCCTTTGGGTCCTAAGGAGAGCTGGAAGAGGAGCTGTGGAAAGAGATGTCTGGACCTCCCTGCTCAAGATGCTGCCCCGGAGACCTGACTTCGGAACAAGCGGAAGATGATGGATGGATGGATGGATGGATGGACGGACGGACGGACGGACGGATGGAAGTTTACCATGGACGAACACGTAAACTGCTGCTGCAGTCTTGCCGTCTTCAATTCTCAGGTCTCTGTAGAAACACTGATATTGTCCAGTTTCGTTGACAGTTGCGTTGATGATTGTCAGCGTTGTGCAGAAAAGTCCCGATCCGCTGCAGTCACTGGTAGAGAAGCGAGTGCTTGTCGGTGGGGTGTCCCACTTCAGGTACTGCCGACCTCTGCCAAAAGAGCACACACTGATTGTGATGCTGCACAGATGTAAGGACTGGTCATTGCTGGAGCACACAGAGGAGCATCATACCTGCATGTCAGTTCCAGGTTGTCAGATTTGTTCATCCGATGGGTGCCGTAGATGTTGAGTGTTGGTGGATCAGGCGTGAACCTCAGTTCAATGGCTGGAGGAACCAACAGGCATGTGAAGAAGAACAAACACATTAGAGTTGAAGGTACCAGCCTGCACAACCCGACAATACACGTCACCACTGCAACGCAACGTAATGAGGAAGTTTTAGAGTTGGATAGCAGACGCTGAAAGTGCAGGCAAAATATAATCTCAACTGAAGCGTCTTTTTGATCTTCAGGAGGCCTTTTTTTTCCACATCCACAGAAAATGGCAAAGCTGTGTCAAAACAGGAAGCAGGGGGAGATGGGCTGGGTCGAGCCCAATAGTCCTTCACAGTATGGACTAGGTGGAGGTTCCTGTTTCTGAGGACACGGGCTACCCACTGACTCCTCGTCAGGCACATAATGCATTGTATGGAAAAGAACAAGAACTTAACGAGGACGACAACACACACATCTGACACAGCTCATGGGCCCTAACTCCACATATTAAACACTTTTGAATAAAGTAAATATGAAATAAATTATTTTAACAGACATACAGCAGATTCAAAAAATGGGACTCCTTGTCCCAGTAAGACACATTTTAGGACAAATTACACTTTTTAAAAAATTAAACTCTTGTCTACAAGATATTATTTGAAATGTGTCAGAGTCAGTTTGCCAATCAATTGATCCTCCATCGCTTTGAATTTTGTCTAAAAACATACTGTGCTCTGTCCCACGGACTCAACATGGCAATCAGCCAAAGCAACAAGTGGACTGTATGTAGCACCTTTCTGTCCTATGAACATACTCAAAGCACAATTAACACATTGAACAAATTCGAGTGAAATGTTCAAGTCATCTGTGAGATTTTGACCTGGAAGGAGAAAGTCTGAATGTCCATCTGGAACCAAGCTCTTACAGAGAAACCTGCAGAAATGGATTCTGACTTGTCTCTGTAAAGTTTAAGTTCTGGTTCTTTGTGTGTCCTGCTTTGAAGCTGCAACAAGTGACAAAAGATTTTCTGTCTTCAAAACAAAGAGAACCTGTTTGATGACCAGCTCTCCTCATTCAGTTTGACAGAAAGCTGAAAATAACTTAAATAGAGGAGGACTCGCTGTGTCTTTGCTCTAAATGTAAAAAGGTTCACCTGAGTTTACCAATTGTTGTAAAAATTTAGATAAATCACAGTTTGACAATTTTCCCACCTGGTGGTTTTTATATGTATTTTCCAATTTAGATCATCGTTCTATGAAACGATCCCGAGAGCATGATGTCAGATTCTTACCAGCAACACAAATGATTTTCAGAATAATCCCGAGCAGCGGAATTACGGAGGCTGCCATCATCCGACAGAAGATGAAGTCTTCATCAGAGTCCTTAAGGTTTCACGGATGGAGAAAAAACTTGCGCTCTGATATTCCTTCAAGGGTTCATATCCGATCTGACAAAAACTCTGAGAGTCATGGAAGCTGGCAGGTTGGTGTTGGTCAGCGCGATGAGCAGACTGTTTCCCTCAGAGCTGCTGCCAAGGATGGAGGGAGGAGGAGGAGGCGGAGGAGGAGGAGGAGGAGGCGGAGGAGGAGGAGGAGGAGGAGGAGAACATGTCACTTCTGGTCCTAGTTTCAGAATGTTAGTGAAAAGGCTTCTATATTTTTTTATTCTGGTTTTAGTTGTGTTGCTTGTGTTTGTTTACCTGACCGGTCTACTTCTCACCGCCCCGCCCACTTTCACCTGAACAGGTGTTGTGCCGTAAAGTGATCAACCACCGCGGGAGCGCGCACAGCCCGTCAGTGTGTTTTCAGGGAGGAGTCGCTGTTTCAACTCTTCAAAGTTGAACAATGTGTCTCCGTTTACCTTTTTTTTTTCTCACCCAAAACTCGTGATATTCTCTCCATGAGTGAGAGAATATCACGAGTTACATTTATCACATTTCAGTACAGTCTTACTAATGTAACTCTTTGAAATGCTCAAATGTGAAAATAAATTGTTTTTTTGCGTCGAGTGTGTTTGTCTAGTTTGTCTTACATGTCCTGCTGCTTTTACTGTCCAAGTACTTTTAATTACAAAAATATCATAAATAGAAAGTGTCAAACCCAACAAACGTGATCACAGGAGCCCGAAGTTTATCAATGTGTGGTGTGTGTGTGTGTGTGTGTCCTTGTTTATGCTACTTTGTGAGGCCCATTTTTCCAACTTATACTACATTGTGGGGACCAACTGCTCCTTATGGGGCCCAAAGCCCGGGCCCCATAAGAAGAAGTCCCGTTGGTGGGTTAGGGGCTAGGTTTAGGACTAAGGTGTGAATTGAGGATGTGTTAGGTTTAGGGTTAGGTATGTACTGGTAATGGTTAGGTTATGGATAAAGGTCATGGTTAGGCTATAGAAATGAATGAAAAATGAATGGAAGTCAATGCAAAGGCCCCACAAAGATAGCAAAACAAACCTGTGTGTGTGTGTGTGTATGTATGTATATATATATATATATATATATATATATATATATATATATATATATATATATATATAGCTATTATATAACTTTGTTAAATTAAAAAATATAGACATTTGACACCACAAATTACTTTATGTGCCATGTTTATAGCCAAAAATCTATTATGGTTTGTAATTAAACAGTGACACCGGGTTTTTCCTCTTGAAATCACTTTGTCTCACTCACAGAGATTACATGATTCAAGCTCAGGCATTAGAAAATAAGATGAGGAATGAGATCATCAGAGCTACAGCACTGGTTGAACATCTGGGAGATAAAGTTAGAGACACCAGACTGAGATGATCTGAACATGTCCAGAGGAGGGACAGTGGTTTGGACATGTCCAGAGGAGGGACAGTGGTTTGGACATGTCCAGAGGAGGGACAGTGGGTCTATAGACGGATTATTTGTTTATCAACATGGCGGATGCGCGCGCAGCTGAAGTGCAGAAAGAGTTTATTTTAGTTTATTTATTACCAGGAGCTGTCGATTAAAATGAAAGTCACAACAGATTATGTGACTCGTTTTACTGAGAAATCTATGAGAAACATTGAAAACAGTCAGACCCGCCTCTGTGCACGTTATTTTTATTTTGTTTTTTATTTTATACATTTTATTACATGATGTTGAAAAGGTGAATAGGTGATGCTCATTACGTCTCAAGAAGAACCACGAATGTTATTATCAAGTTCAGCTTCACAGTGTGTGGCCTCCTGTCCTGTGGACCCAGCAGGATCCACTGGTGCAGCCACAGATGATCAAATGATGAACACTGTCCTCCACATACATGAACAGTTATTCATACAAAGTAATATTGTAAAAGAAAGAAGCTAAAAACAATCCACTTTGACACATATCATTTATTGTAACTTTTCCTGTTAACATTCAGTTTTAACTTTTCCTTCAAATCATTCTGTGCACGTTTAAAAAAAAGAAATGGTTATTTTGTTGTTACTTTTTAATGACATTACTTATGTACAAACAAGAAATAAAAAGTTTTTGATGTATCCTTAACTCTTGAATACTTCAACAAGATATTTACAGTTTATTTTCTAAGAACTATACAGTCCCAAATGCGTGTTAACACTGCACACACAGTTACAACGTCATCTAATAGATTAAAGGTTTCAAAGTCTGAGACATAACAGGGAGACAACCAACTTGTCAAAATGTTGGAAATGTCACATTCAGTAACATTAAATCTGAACGTATTATCTTTATTGGTGAGCCCTAAATGCAGTTTTCATGAGGATGGACAGTATGGTCCATTGTTTGGACATCTGCTGGGGGTTTATCTTTTTCTCTTGTAGCTGACACAGAAGAGAACAATCATTAGGTACAGCAGGAAAACATCACTTTACTTTGTTGAACACAGGTTTATTACAGCCTCAGTACAAATCAGTATCTCTCTACTTACTGCTCCAATTTTCCATCGTTGTCTTTGTCGAACTTTGTCGAGTAGGAGAAGATGGACGGGACAAAGCCAGGACTGTCGATGTCTTCAGAGTCCACTCCTGTACAAATAAAGTGTATTCCAGTGACTGACGTTAATTAAAACAGCACACGGTTGGCCAGCGCTAACTGGCATAGCATGTGTTAGCATACAACTTAACAGTAACAAGTTTCTGGGTGTCATCATTGATGAAAAACTGACATGAAACCTCACATAAATAAATTAAGAACAAAAATATATAAATCTATTGCAGTACTGTACAAAGTAAGGGAGTTACTCAATGATAAAGCTCTGTTTATGTTGTATAATGCAATAATTGTCCCACACTTAATTTACTGTATTGAAGTCTGGGGTAAAGCATGTAAAACAATTACAAATCCTATTTTTATTTTACAGAAAAGAGCTGTAAGAATCATCACTAGAAAATATTATAGACATCCATCAAATACATTGTTTTATAAACTGAAGATATTAAAATTCTATGACTTGGTTGATTATAATTTTTTACTGTTTATGTATAAGGCTCACAAAAACATACTGCCTTCAAATATTCAAGTAAATCGTGTTAAAAGGGAGAGTGGTTATTATCTCAAGGGGATAGATGTTTGTGAAGCATTGGTTTCGTACCAGTTTGAAGGAGTGGTCCACTATAATTCAGGGAATGTGGAATAGTCTGAAGGATGATGTTAAAACTGCCAGATCTATGTACATAATCAAGAAAATGTTAAAAGTTAGTTTTCTGAAAGAATATGGTAAAGTATAATGTGCATCTATACAAAGTGTTGTTTGAGTTGATGTTGTTTTTATTTAACTTTGTTTTTTTGTAAATTACTTTTGTTTGAATATATTCTGGGAATAAAGGGGCAGATGTCATAAGATTTATTCTTTTTCTGCTGCCTTTCATTTTATTTTTTGATTGTATATATATATATATATATATATATATTTGTTTTCTATTGTATGTAGTTATTTTGTTTTTAATGAAATGAGTAAATTCTAAATAAAAACAAATAAATAAATAAATGATTAGCAACTCTACTCAGCATCACTGAACTCAGATATCTTAGCTTGTAATCTAGGTTCATTCGTATTTGAGTGATCAATTGTTCATATTTTTGTATACGGGACACAATAACCAGTGATGCTTGTTAGCTAGTCAGCCCTTACCTGATATGAAGTGCTCGCTGCAGATTGTTGCATTTTTAATCATCTGCTCATTTAAATTAATTATTAAATACATCTCCTGTTAGCCTTGAAAGTGTGCGAGTTGAAGGAATTCTGTAAAACTTGCACATTTTATTGTTTTTATCAAAACGGTTGGTGCAACCTACAGCACAACAAGACATGATTGCTGCTTCTTTCTGCGACCGACATGAGCAGTATACCAGGAAGTGACCTGGAAGTGACGTTGACTGATAATCCGTCTATTGGTAGAAGGATGTTAGAAATGCAGCTGTCATGAAAAGACAAAGAGGAAGGCCAAAGAGGAGATATGGATGCAGTTAGAGAGGACATTCATTCAACCTTTATTTAAACCTTTATTTAGACCGGTTAGTCTCATTGAGCCTCACGAGGACTCATTTGCAAGAGAGACCTGTTGAAACAAAGAAGACAGAAGAGGTACAGACAACAATAGACAATCATGTAAAAACATATCAAATGAAAAGTAAATAGAAGAAATGATATAAAAAGCAAAACAAAAGGCAGCTACATTATAAAGAGATATAAAATACTAAAAACAGGAACATGTCTGCATTAGTTTTTGCCAGGAACTTAGACGTTGTATCCATGTGCAGTAGCCAAAGGCAGGGATCTTGGAGCTTTGACCCTGGCTTACCAAAGCTGGCTCTTGGGACATGAAACGTGACCTCTCTGGTGGGGAAGGAGCCTGACCTTGTGCATGAGGTTGAGGAGTACCGACTAGATATAGTTGGGCTCACCTTGATGCATAGCATGGGCTCTAGAACCAATCTCCTTGAGAGGGTCTGTACCATATTCCACTCTGGAGTTGCCCATGATGAGAAGCGCCGAGCTGGTGTGGGTATACTCTTAGCCCCCTGACTTGGTGCCTGTGTGTTGGAGTTATCCCCGATAGATGAGAGGGTAGTTTTCCTGTGCCTTTGGGTGGGGGGGACGGACTCTGACTGTAGTTTGTACCTATGTGCCGAATAGCAGTTCAGAGTATCTGGCCTTCTTGGAGTCCTTAGTGGGGGTGCTGGAAGGTGCACCAACTGAGGACTCCTTTATTCTGCTGGGGGATTTCAATGCCCATGTGGGTAATGACACTGTGACCTGGATGGGCGTGATTGGGAGAAACAGATTCTCTGATCTGAACTCGAGTACTGTTCTGTTGATGGATTTCTGTGATAGTCATTGGGCATCAAAAGACATGGGCATCAAAGTTGAGTTGGTTGGCTCCATCATGAACACCATGTTCGAACATAAGGGTGTTCTTAAGTGCACTTGACACCAGGACACCCTAGGTCATAGATCAATGACTGACTTCATAGTCGTGTCATCTGGTTTGCGGCCATTTGTTTTGGACACTCGGGTGAA